CGTAATTTAAGTATTAAGCGTAATTTTAATTTATAACGATTTCCCTATAAATTAAAAAATACTATCAATGTTTTATATTTCAATACTGTGAAAAATTACGATTTCAAGTTTTAAAACATAATAGCATTGTACACGTACATAATTCTGTCAAGTAGGTATTTTAAAGGAAATAAAGTGAAAAAGCACGTTGAGATTACAATGTCCTGAAATTTATAAATAAAAGCCGCCTACTACTTTCTGTTTCATTTCCCAAATGATAGCCAGAGACAAGGGGGGCAAAGGCGGATTTCAACATATTTTTTTAAATATCTTCAAAACTTTTTAAATTAAAGTAATAAAAAATATCATACATGTATTTATATTATAAGCTCTTTAATTGTATGTATCATTCACACATACATACATACAGGTATAGTTTGACTATCCATCTCTAGGCAAAGGGTTGCCATAATGTGCAAGTTCAAACAAAGGGGGCGGACCGGTGCCTCACCTAGCTCCACCTGGGTGAAGCACGGGGACTTTATATGGAGTCCCGTGCTCCCACTGATGATGTTATTGTATAGTGAAGCAGTAAATTGTTTTCCCTATATGATTCAAATGATCTAACCGATTAATAGTGAGTGAGTGAATTATTCACTTTTTTTTATGAGAGGCACATTAAAAATAACGTAACGGAGAGTTGGAATTCCAAACACAATGTAGAGTTCAAAAACTTTTAATGTTACCCTAAATAAATTGCTAGCAGTGTGATATAACTCTGTGAAAAATACCATTTCATTTTAGAATCGCAAATGCGATCAATGAATAATGAAATCTCTTTGGGCCATTTTTTGGAAAAATGCGTTATAATAATCTTACTATTCTATATTAAATAGTGTATTTATCTTCATTTCTTAACTGTAATGATTATTTGTTTGAGGGTCCTATATATATAGTCCCCGTGCCCAGGCGGAGAACCTAGGTGAAGCACGGGTCGGCCATTAACATAAAGTCTTTGTGACGTAGTTAAAACAAAATATAGAAGTCTAAAAATCCCTCTCAAATTGTTGGGCATTTAAGGAATGAATGAGAAAAAATGAAAAAAAAATCATAAAAAGAAGAATAAAAAAAACTGAGCTAACATTATAGTATATTTTAGGACTAATATTGGGAGTTGAATGGACGTCCAACCATTGGGCAAACATCGCAATATTTTTAAGCAACCTCGTCCCCGTTCTACTTTTTATATATTTATTACACATAAATGAAAAAAAAAAGTAAAATTTTACATTTTTGAGTTGAATATATTTTTTGGGAGGTGACACTTTACTATTAAATATATATTGAATTTAATTGTACAGCTGTACTACCGGGACAACTGAAGGTCTGGTTTAATTTTAATAACGGTGTCACGGATGTTCGTCAAGGTAACACAGCCTCCCCTTTTTTTTTCCGTGCGGCAATCTCCTCGGATACCACCTATCGGTGGCATATCGGACTCCAACCGACTAAAACCGCACGCCGTCGCGGGTACTAATAGCCGGGGAACCAGGTATACCCTAGAAAGGAAGTCCCTGGTGAACACACACAGCCTCCCCTAAAAAGATCATGTCCGCCAAACAACTATGTTCTTTTAAAAATTATGTTCTGTGCTATTTTTTTTTTAATTATGTGATTGACCTGTTGCTTTATTTTTATTTAATGTTTATTTAGTGATTCTGACTACTAAGCTGGAGGTCGGGGTTCGATTTCTACCCGGGACAAATAATTGGTTGATGAGCACAATCATTTGTTCTGTGTCTGGGTGTAATTTATCTATAGTAAATTTCATCATCGTCATCAACAGCCTTTACTAGTCCACAGCTGGACATAGGCCTCTCCTTAGAAATGAGGTTTTGGCCTACTATACCACGCTGGCCAAACGGGTTGGTATAGGGTTTGTGTCAAGTTTTCCGTCTCTCTGCAGTGCAGTTGTCCTGCGTAGTTTGCTCCCTTAGTCGGTTCTTACAACACCCACGGGATGAATAGGGGTGGTGACACTCTGTATTCGTAATCCGTCACCACACGTAAATCGTAAATATATATATTTTGAAATGTGTAAGTATGTTTATTAGCAGTCTGGTTACCATAGCCTAGGCTGAGCCTAGTTTAGGATCGGACTGCCGTGTGTGAGATATGTGAAGTTATTATTATTATAAAAACCATGACAAGTTTGTTTCTCATGTTTTTTTAAATTACACGACTGCATCATTTCTTTCCATAGTTTCTCCATCTTAAGAGAAAGATACATCGTTGACAATTGACATTAATAAAATGACATTCATAAAAATGTGACGTTTATGTCTCTGTCAGATAAATTTAAATATCGAATTAAACTGTAAACACTTACACCAAAAATATTAATTGCTCAAATCAGTTCTCTCAACCACGGCACACGATCTACCATTTAAATTATTACACCAAACGCATTCTACTGTGCCCAATCTAGTGCTAAACTAACAAACGTATGCATGACTTGTTTAAAAAATAAAGATTTAAAACTTTTTATGGTATTTCTAAGCCGTCATTTGTATATTGGGCGGGGTGTGCACGTGTCGGCGCGTGGCGAAGAAGATTGTCTGTTGCATCTATTGTGCTACCCCTTCCGAGGTTTAATGTTGAATACTGTCTCGGAAAATATTTTTTTGGTGAGAGAATTGTTTTATATTTATGTCGGTATGGTATTTGTAATTCGTCAAACGTTATATATATAATTTTAGTTAAGAATACCTGTTCAAATTTTATTGCAATTATGTTTTTTAAAGAATTTAATTAAGATGGGGTTTTTGACATAAATTCTTCTTTTCAAACAAAGATCCAATTTGGATTAAATTTAATGTATGGAGTTAGCTCATCATCATCATCATTGACTTCTTGCGTCTGTTTCAGACGATTTAGTCTTTCTGTAGCCATACACTTTGTATCGTGGCTATGTAAGCCAACTCTAAATCAACAAGTTCTACCGCACACTCTGCAAGAAACACCTAACCCCCTGGTCATTTTTTCAGGATGAAAAGGAGCCTATGTGTTAACATAGGCTCCTTTTCATCCTGAAAAATTTAGTGTTCCTGTAGGATGAGCAAGGAACTACCGCGGGGTAACTAGTACATCTCAATTCTAGCGCTGCACCCAAAAGCCGACAGCCGACAACCTTATACAAAAAAAAAATCTACAATAACCAATATATCTCGCCAAACCTAAACACTACTATAATAAAGTCGATTTTTCCCTTTTAATCCGATTCGCGAAGGGACCCTGCCCAATCTGTCCATCCTAATATCATTTCGCGTAATTGACTAGCAGCATGCGTGCGACAGTACAACAGATATGCTATAACCGCTCTATGAAATGTTTTGACATGTTTACTTAACGTGGGAACGATGTTTAGTCCTTGTGCAATTAGTAAATACTGTTTTATGAATGGGTGTGGGAAGCTGCCTTCGATATTTCTTCCTCATAGTTTTATCCGCTTTATGCTTAATACCCCACTCCTGACAGTTGTAGTCTGTTGGGAAAATAATATCACTTTCTTCTTTCATATGTATCATGAGTCTATTAATACCGAAATAAATCTCTTGGACTTGTTAAATCGAAACATATGAGCCAAAACTCTTGAGGTTTAAAGTAGCCGCTCAAGAGTTCCAATGTTAACCTCCTGGCTCCTTTGACATATCAATTCTAAGATGCCTAAGTATAGTACTGTTAAGCGCAAACACGTGCAAAACCTATGGAGTTAATACTAATTAATGACTACCATAATAGACTTTCAAATAAATGTAGATCTATTTAAAATACGACACCTAAATATTTATATATCAAGGTCGACGACTTTTAAACAGAAATATTTGTAGCTTTTAATTGAAATGTTTCTATTTATATAAAACCTTTCTATAGTAATCTTTACGCCTGTGCCAACTATTCCTATTAGTATATCCCTTCATATAGAGAGAGTTGGAAAGAAACTATACCTATCCGTAGGTACCAGAATTGATCGATAGAGATTCTTGGAATAGCGGAATTTTGAAAGGATTTAGAGATTTTTCTTCATCGCTATGACAAACGACCACTTTTACATACTTCTTGACTGCCTCGGTGTCACACATCTCAAACACGGCCGTCAATCCGATCCCGTACTAGGCAGAGCCTGTACTATGGTAACCAGACTGCTGATAAACATACTTATATATTTCTAAATATATACAAACAACAAATATATACATAATGTTTTTATGCTCTAGGTATAATTATTTGTTTCGGAGTTTGGGTGTTTTCTTTGTATAATGTGTATGTATTTAAAAAAAGAGTATGTATGTATTCATCTATCAGTCAATCTAGCTTTCATAGTACAAGTTCTGCTTAGTTTGAAACTAGAACGCGTTGTGTGTTAGATGTCCGAAAAATTATTATTATTACTGTTACCAGTTCCATGGCAATTGCGTCAGTATAAAATAGTTGAATGAAACTCCGAATACTTCTCAATTTAGAGAAAATGTATCATCACTTTATTAGGGCAATAAAAAAGGATGCCTTGAAGTGTCAAGGTTTAATGTCAGACACTCCCATTAACGGACCCTATGTTCTAGTGGTTACTGACCACCAATCACTAGATCCAATCATCAATAAGACCCCATAAAGTCCCACCTTCCGATCCATCCCAAGATCGTAAATTTTATTCCTACCGAACACAAATAATTTTGTTATGTCTGTATCGATCTAAGTGGCGTGCAATGGGAGAGGCCTATGTCCAGCAGTGGACTGCGATAGGTTGATGATGATGATGATAGTTATGTTGTCCGTATATATGTATGTCTATATCTTTCATTGTTTAACTTAAATATATATTTCTCAGTTTCTGTACTAAAAATCGAAAATGCAACTTCTATCGCTTAACACGGTTCACGGGGTGCACCCGAAAATGTGAGCAGATCTTTCTGTAAAATTATCGTAGAAGGTAAAGTTAACAGAGTGTTTAATAAACTCACCATCCTTGTTCATTCCCATGGTAAGACATTTCTTCAGTCGGCAGGCTTGACACTGATTTCTGTGAGCTTTGTCCACCACGCAACGGCCAGTACCTGCTTGGCATCTGTCAACAATAAAAAAGTTATCACCTTCGGACAGACAAAAGTTATCATCTTTCTTTTCTTTCTTTAAAAAAGAAAGATAACTCCCGCACTAGGTCGAGGACTAGCATTGCGGGAGACTTTCCAAACATAAATGAAACGGACATAAATAACACCCACAGTCAGATGCACAATTAGTGGGATCGAACCCAGTATTGTGGGTTCTCAGCGCAGTAGGAAGCGGGGAGCTTAAACCACTACGGCATCCGTGCAGTCGCACTTTGTTAAATCAAATAGATAAAGAACGCAAGTAGAGTATACGAAACTAGATTATACGTTTAGGAAAATCTATATATTTATCATTCATATATATAACATCGATAATTTGTATTATATATATTATAATAGTAAAATAAAATTTAAAAATATATCAGCTACTTCAATGCGCCTGGGTTCTTTCGGTAGTGAAAAATATTTTAAGAAATTTTAATAAAAATTAACATTTATGTAGAAATATACGTTAATATTCTGATTTTGAGTCATAAAAGTCATCACATTATTGTTTTATTACATCTGTGTATCACGTGACCTAAAACTTGAGCCGCCAAGTTGTAACGTCCTATAGGCAAAATCTGTCTGTTCAGTGTAAACAGCTAGTTACATATCTAGGCCGGTGCAACCTGGTCGAAACGTCAGGCAAACCAGAGGTATGTAATACCCTAAATAAGAGATCGCGTTAATTCCCGTTAAAATAATATTAATTATCATGGAACGCGAAAGTTTAAAAGTTAGAGTAATAATTGTGTTCTTTCATCAGTGCATTTTATTTGTACCTATTTATTTATAAAAATGCAAACCGGTTTTGTATAGGCAGATAGTACGAATCTGCCAAAAATTGATTCAATGATTGCAAAGTTCTTTGCATGTAATCCCAGCTCCGTCAGGTCCTCGTAGAGTAGTGGAAGGAACGACTTGGGCAACCGAGCGCCGGACACGCCGTTATTGCGGCGGTAAGACCCGTTATGGAGAATTGGCTCGAGAGGCGTCAAGGAACCCTCTCATACCGACTGACGCAGGTGATCACCGGGAAAGGTTGTTTCGGAGATTACCTGTGTCTGATCCGCAAGGAGCCAACGCCTGAGTGCCACCACTGAGTGCCCTCCACACGTTGGCAGAATGCCCGGCGTGGGTGGAGCAGAGGCGTGACCTCGTGGTGGCCATCGGGGTGGAAGTCCTCTCGCTCGATAGTATGATTGCCGCCATGGTACGGAGCGAGAGTGCGTGGAACTCCGCCGTCTCCTTCTGCGAGCAAGTTATGCTTGCGAAGGAGATGGCGGAGCGGGACCGGGAGAGCTTTAGAACTCTCCCGGCCCGCCAGGCCCGGGAACGGACCAAGTACCGTAGACGACTCGGGTGCCGGAGGTCGTAGTCGAGGTCGCCTCCGTAAGCGCAGGCCTGGGGGTGACAGGTGAGGCCATCTGTCACCCTAGCAGAAGCAGGCCGGAGTGCGGAACGCACGCCCCTTTTGGGAGCAAAAAGGGAACATGGGGGTTCCCACACAGGAGGATGCCATCTACACGCCGTGGATGGCCCGGGTACCAGGGATTTCCTTTCTAGGGTACACCTGGTTCCCCGGCTACTGGTACCCGAGACGGCGTGCGGTTTTTGGTCTTCCGAGTCCCACATAATCACCCCGGTGGGTGATATCCGAAGGGATTTCCGCACAGGAAAAAAAAGGGGGTTTTACTAACATTGAAATGATCCTCACATAAATACAATCAACTTTTAGTTCCAATCAAACATTCATTATTTCAATATCATCTAGCACTTTGATAAACAATTTTTTATTAGTTTTAATACTAGTATTTGAACAACTAAACACTACACACCAACGATGGCGATTGTAATTTATTATGTTCCCAAAAAACACCAAATATTTATAGCTTAACGTTGAATGAGTGCCGGTAGTACTTACATGCATGACTGTCTTTACCATTATAACGTCACCAAATTGGCTGACAGCGTTTTCGCGGCAATATAAAAGGTTTAAAATTTAATTTAATATTATGGCAAGAAAACGTGTTTATTTTGCCGAAATATATTTTTTGAGGCTTTCTATTAAGAAAATCAACATTTCGAAGTACTTTTACAAACATAGTAGAATACCCTATTATGATAAATTGCATTGATCTGCTTGTCTACCCTTAGGGGTGGTAAATTTTTTCCAATTTGAATAGAAAGAAAACGAGAAATAGGTATGAGTATATCCTTTCAAACAAAAACAACGTTTTTCCCAATTGGTTTAAAATGATGGACTTCTGAGGTAATAAACATTTAAAGAAAGTAGAAATGAATTGAGAACCTCCTTTCTTGAAGTCGTTTAAAATAAAAGATATCATTGCTTTTATGAACTTCGACTACCAGGCAATCAGGTTTCGTTGAACCTTAGGTAATTCTTTATCTAACTTAAAACTACCCTATCTTATTCCTTATACAATATACGCAATAAATAGACAGACATATATTATAGACAAGCTGGTACCCGCGACTTCGTTTGCGTGGAGTTTGAAAAGCGCTGCCTTAGTGGGTGCGATTCCCGGACCAGGCAAAATAGCCTAAGCTACTCCTTATACAGACAGCTACCGGATAGTAAAATATTATCGAAATCGGTTAAGCCGTTTAGAAGACAAACAAACAGACAGATAGGCAGACAAAAAATATCCTGCAAATAACCGTGTGAGCATGAAAAATACCTACTATTTTGACATTAAAAACAGACACTTCAATTTTATTTATTTGTTTAGATATAACTAAATTACACGCAAACACAGAGCAAATGTCGTGCTCATCACACAATATTTGTCCTGAGTGGGAATCGAACCCATGACCTCTGACTTAACGACCAGGATCGCTAATCACTAGATCCATCACTCAATTTTAATTCAAGCACTTCAATTTTATTTATTTGTGTAAATAAGGTACTCAACGTTCTATAATAGCTACCTTAGTTTTGTATGCAAAACCTATCTTTTATGTTTTTATTCAGCTTTATTTACTGCCATCTCTTAAATTTTATTGTAGTACCTTTTGGGAACCTCTTAGCACGGGTATAATTTAAAAATTAAAAAGTTAAAATATGTGTTCAATAAACTATTTGTTAAACGAGAAAATATCCTAAAAAATCAAAACAACTTTCTCAAATTAAGTCTCAAAGTAGAAAGATTTGATTGATCGCCTTACGGTTTCTTTGACTACCCCACCGCCTTAGCACTGTACAAAAATCTGCTACCACAGAAACTAATACAGATTAAAGATATTTCATTACTGATAATCCCATCTGTAATAGGCTTACGCTACGTTGACATTTGTTGCAGTTCCATACAAAAGAGAAGTGGACCCAGAATGGCGCCCTGTGGTACACCCTGTTTCACGCTTCTTAAGCTTTTGAATGATGGTATTAATAGAGATGGGTTTTTGATATATGGCGAGATTTTAGACAAGTATGTATCTTGATAATTTGAAATGTTAGTTGCCGTATAAATATATAACTTCACTGGTGTAAACCTGTTTTATTAGCGCATAAGACGCCTTCCAAATTTAGCAAGTCATATGTTTGTGTTAAAAAATAGTTTCTTGTCTTAATCCCTACTAATATAATATATGCGAAAATAACTCAGTCTGTCTGTCTGTAATGCTTTAACGGCTAAACCGCTGAACTGATTTTAATTAAATTTATCACAGAGATACTTTGATTATTGAGGAAGGACATAGGCTACTTTTTACCGCGATAACCGACATACTTGGGCAAGCATGGGCAAAAATTAGTCCAAGCTAGCAAAAATCCACGATAATGTGTATTTGCATTAAAAGTTACATATATCTTATCAAATGTTTTACCAATAATAATGAGAAAAATGTTGTCGAAACGAGAACGAAAAAAGTAAAAATATACAATTTCATCTCGAAATGTAGTCACACAGCGTAAGGTAAGCGTTAGAGGCTGAAGCAAATTCTCCTCGATAGGGTCCGTACACTGTCCAATTTAGATTAGTCACTATACCCCATATCAATCCATTTAATTTTTAACAATATGTTTCTAAATAATGATATTAATAATATAATTCAAATTCAAACTTCCTTGTATTCAAAACAGCACATCAAGTTTGAATTTAGAATGGGTTCTACATTTTAATAATATTCAAGAACACGAAAACAATTAATAGACAATCGTAAAAGCGTTCTTTTTTGACATAAGCGCTAACTCTAAACAGCAAATACTTTAACAAAAAAAAATGTATCAAAAAATCAATTAGCGAATCATAAAGCCGGTACACATGTCGCACTTGACCATCTATCACAGGGGTGCGTACACAATATTAATAACATTAGGACGGGTGGCGAATTAATTGAAACGCCACTTAGGGAGCGGGCCAAATGTTAAACAGATTTAATGTTATGTGTGAGCTTTTTTACGGGGTTTTAGAAATATTCCAAATTGAATATTGTTACGAAAATCTTATTTGAATACGTGGAAAACAATATTAGACCCACTGGTTACCTGTGCCTTGACCAACAGTGTCTTTTGTATTTGTTTAAGTGTTTTAGAAGGTAATAATCAAACTTATACTTATATAACTAAATTGATTCCATTCTAAATTCAAACTTTATCAACTATTTAAAACAATCATGAATTTTATTATATTTTTAATTCTCATATATCTCACATTTTATATCTTACATTTTAAATACATTAAAAGAAACATGAAATGTTTAAAAATAATTTTTTTAAGAACTAACTCTGTTTGGTTTTCAGTTGTCCAATTTGACATGTTGCCTTTGTATTATACAAATAAAGCATTGTAATTGTTATCAATTGTATATTATATAGTATACGCCTAAAATAATGCTAATAATAATAACACACTTGATATGAAAGAAGCAACAATTTGTGTTTGTCTTTTATTTTACTAATTTAAAAAAAAAAGGATATAAAAAACTAGAACTGATACAATTACCTATTTGA